ATACGAGAGTGTCATTTACTGCTTTGAAGGCCCAGATCAGGAGCAGATTCAAGGCAGAAAGTGATAGGCTTAGCTGTGGACAGCCCAAAAAATCCATGTCAAGCCACTGCTGGGGATCCCTCAGACCCAGAAGCAGAGCAAACACAGAAAAAAAGAGTCTCCAACAGTTCTAGTATTCTTTTTTATTACTTGTAATAATTTACCACCTAGGGTGAGGAGTGGCTTCTTCTTCAATAACTTTCCCCCTTATTTTTAAAGACAGGGGCTCTTGCCAAACCCAGAGCTCACCCATTTGGCTAGCCTGTGTACTTAATAAGGCTCAGGTATCCATCTGTGCCCACCCTGGAACTCTGAGATGAATAGAATAAAAGAGATTACAGGTGTGTGCCACTGTGCCTTGCTTCTGATGTGGGTGCAAAGTTCCCATGCTTGCACAACTTGCACTTTAGCCATTGGGCTGTCTCCGCAGCTTCCGTCCTTTTATTTTAAACTGAGATGAAATGACATAGGAACTAAACATCTGTAGAGAAAAGTTTAGTAGCATTTAGCACATTCACAGTGTTACACACCACCTCTATCAAATATCATTTCCCAATGAAAAGCTTAAGTAACCTAAGGCAGAGGCAGCTTGCTTTGGGGTCTACACTGATGAGAGTTTTTCATGGAACCAGCTGATGTGTCCCTAAGTTCCATGTCTGTGGTAACCCTGTCTGCTGCCTGAGGTTTGCTTTTGTTGTCGGTTTGTTGTTTTCGTTTCTTATGAAGCATCAGAAAATTGTCCCTACGATTTATACCCCATTACCATAAACACCAAACAAAAACTCTAGAGTTAGACAAGAACAAGTAAAGTATAGCTCAATAATCGAGATATTTGAACTTTTATCACCTTTCCATTCTTTGGCTCATTAGTCAGTCATGATCTGACCAACCAGGACACACCATCCTCCACACCCCCAGGCCTGGTAGGCAGGTGGTGAGTGAGCCTGGCAAACAAAAAACTGTGGTCAGAGAAGGAAAATATTTGTGTATCAGAGTTCATTGTTAGGGAAGGATTAGGGAAGAGTTTGGGGAGTGTTGGCCTGAACAGTGTGAAAGGGAAAACCAGAGGAGGGACATTTCTTTCTGTCTGAAAACTCCCCCTCCTCTGGGAATGCTCCCATCAGCAAAACAGCAGGGCATGTAACAGAATGCCTGGGCAGAAAGGCTGGATAAATGGGCAGGACGGAAACACCCTGGAAGAAGCGTGGGTTTTATTTGTTTACTCAACAATCCCAGTTTTACACATGTACAGGTGTGGGAGAGAGCAAACGGTTGACCCCTGTCTGTGCTAGCACTTTCAGGGACAGGGTCAGCGTGCATGGGGTGGGGGTCTTATTTCGTGACTTTGCTTCTTGCACAGTCTCAGTCTCCTGCAAGGGGACTGCAGCATACTGGGAAATTGTTACTCACTGGGAAACAGATCTCATCGCCGTCAAAGGAAGAAGGTGGCGGCTGTTGTTTGGTTCTGTGAGGTCAGAATTCTCATTTACTCTGTTCATCGCTTGTTTTCTTCTTGTTTCTGAGCTCGCCGTTAAAACTGAGCACTGTTCAGCTGAGCACAGTGTAACTGGTTCTCCATCACCTGGAGGTGGATCTTCACCTCCCCTGGCAGTCTTTGCTTCTGTTGGCTCTTATGACATCGTCAGCAGGCAGGTCTCCCTCCAGGCCCGTTTTTCTTTTTTTTTTTTTTTGAGATTGTAATTGTGCCATTTCTTCCCAATCCCTCTCCTCCATCCAAACATGCCCATACACCGCTCTTCCTCTGTTTCAAATCCGAGTTCTTTTTCATTAGTCATTTTTACATGCATGTATGTGTATATACGTTATATGCACATATCACTACTTGAGGCTGTTCATCGATTTTGTCACTGTGGACAGCACCTGTGGGAGCTGAAACTATGTCTTTTAGTCTCTCAGTGGGCACCTCCCTACAGCTCACCCACGTCTTGAAGTAGGATCAGAAGGGACCCCTGGTGTCAAGACTCCTGATGTCTTATGTTTTTAAAATGATATTTGCCTCATTTTTTTATGTTAAGATTCAGCACCGAGGCTGTGTTTCAGTGCTAAGTGTTTCATTTTAGCCATGTTAACTGTTTTCTAAAAAACAAAAAGCAAAGAAAAACAGTGAAACAATATTCTTCAACAGAACTAACAATAGAATCCGGACTCTCTACCAGGCATCATTTCTAGTTTGCAGGGTAAAGTACCCAAACTCGGCAGGTGTATGAAGATGTGAGGAAGTATGACCCATCCTCAAAAGAAATGAGAGCTGATGCAGACCAACTCCACGAGGAATTTGATGATGGGATTTAGCTGTTAGAGGTAAGACCCTGTTGCTGAAGACGGCTCATGTTTTTGTTGTGATGCATAGAAAAATCACTTTGGAACAGAGTTATGTGTTTCCTTCCTGCTGGGTAGTTTTCAGCATGCGGGATGTTGCCTCTGCGGTAGACAAGTTATCAGGATCTTACTGCCATGGACTCTGCACGCTACAAAAATTATCTGCCAGGCAAGTTGAACCCATTGGTACAACAGCAGCATACATACTACGGTAGTGACTACCACTTTTGATTCAATTTGAGGGAATTTACAGCTGGTGCTATAAACCTGGCCAACCTTCCCCATGTTGAGGATGGCAATGGGCTCCAGGGGAGGATGTTCTGTTGGTTTGCTACATGCAAGTGGAATCAAACTGCCTTGTGAGTGTTTGTGTTCATGCCACTAGTTCAGTACTGTTGTCCGTCTCAGCCAGAGAACTTTCTTTCTGCAGTGGTTACAAGTTGATGCAGGACTTGGAATTTGTCCAAGTGTTGATAATAAATTAATAGTGAGTGCTCAAACTTGGTGGGACATCTGTCTCCCTCCATGCCAAGGCTCATGGAATGTTGTGGATGAGGGGTGAGAGTGATGTGGATGAGGGGTGAGTGTGATGAGGATGAGGTGAGAGTGTGATGAGGATGAGGTGAGAGTGTGATGTGGATGAGGGGTGAGAGTGTGAGAGCCAGAGCTGTGTAATGCCGTCTTCTGGACACGGCAATGCCATTCACTCACAAACTTGCCGTGTGTATGGATACCTGCACAGGATGGAGCTTGCCAGCATTTTAGCATAGACAGGAGTGGGGCATACTAGGCCACTCCTAGCTAGGAGCCCTCGGGTGTAGCCAAGCCTAGTTATACAGCAAATAACTCTAAAACTGTGCCCATGCAAGGAACCCTACTTAAGCAGAGTGGGTTTCTTTAAGGCATGAGAAAGAGGGGATCTAGAAGGGTATCAGGAAGATAAAACATTCTAGAGACAGGGAGAGGGAGATAGTTGAGAGGAATGGAGGCACATATCATTAAACTGCATTATATGTATATATGAAATTACAGAAGAGAAATAAAAATATTTTAAAATATGTATTTGTTTTTCAGCTTGTATTCCACTGTGGCGAGCTCTCCAGATATATTTTATACCTCACTATTTTTTCTGTTGTTTATATAAGGCCTATCTAGTTTTGTATGCATAAAACTATTAATTTGTTATGTTTTGATATCAAGGGTCTTTAAAATTCTCTCTTAACATTTTTTTATTTTTTGAGACAGGGTTTCTCTGTGTAGTCCTGGCTGTCCTGAAACTCACTCTGTAGACCAGGCTGGCCTTGAACTCAGAGATCCACCTGCCTCTGCTTCCCAAGGGCTGGGATTAAAGGCGTGTGCCACCACCGCTCTCTCTCATAACAGTTTGCACTCCTCTAACACAGGTTTTCTGCTCTTACATGTTCCCCAGTCTTCCTTTGTAGCTCATAACATGATCACAGCCATTTAAAACTTCCCAGTCAGAGAAAGGCATGGCATCGTGCAGCAATCTCCACGGAACCAAAACATCTGCTCTACACAGAGAGTTTTTGCTTGTTTTATTCACCGATGGATACTGACACACACTATACATTTGATAAGTATTAACTGCCTTAGTGAAATAAGAGAAGGTGTTTCACCAACTTTGAACATGCTGATAGAACTGTGGAGACAGAAGCGATGAAAAACTGAGGTATATTCAAAACAGAATGCAGGTGTGTAGAGCTGGGAGTTGAGGTAAGAGCTGCTAGCAGGAGAGGTGACAGTGAGGCCAGGCAGGAAGCCAGCAAGATGCCTGATGCCGAACCAGCCAGGATCTCGTCCTGAAACAGGGAATTGCTGAGTCAGAAAGTCCATTTCAACTCTTCTTCTACACTTCAGCTTGAGGTAGAAGACACTGTCTGAAGCCAAAGGAAGAAAAGACCAGGTCAGCACCCTGTAGGTGCTCACTGTATCTTCTCTGAAACTAACCTCCACCCTCCCTTCTGCACTGAAAAAATTCTGCCCATGATTAACTTCTGTTTTGGCAGGGGCAGTTTTATTATATTATGTTGTGCAAGCTTAATACGGCCAACCAAAGTACATGTTGCTCTGGGTTGCTATGTGGAGGGGATATTACAGGGCCTATTGTCCACAACAATAAGCTGCTTCCTGGCTCCCTGCTTGGGTGTCTCATCCCTTGGCTATTTCCTGAGACAGATACACAGGAAACTTGCTAGGGTCAATAGTCTTGAGTTCTTTATTGGGGAGGAGAAAGAAAAGCAACCATGGAGTACATTCTGGTCACTATCAGGGCAAAGACCAAACGACCACGAAAACACACAGAGTCTGTAAGAGTTTGGTGCAGACTGAGACCAAGGTTGAAAAAAAAATCAGTGAATTTAATTAAACCTTTAAGCTTTTCCCCAAACTGTGGCTAGAGCCCTGTTTTATCCATCCAGCCTGTTTTTCCTGACACCTCTCCTGACCCGTGGTCTCCGCACAGTAGTAAGAGCGACTTCAGTTGAAAGTGTAGGAAGGATTGAGAGAGAGCAGGGAGAGTGGGAGAGAGAGGGGGAGAGTGGGTGTGTGTGAGCCCCAGCAGTGCTCAGCTCACGCAGCTCTTCGCTGGCCTGGCAGTGCCCTCAGTGGGCCACCAGACAGAGCTTGTAGATGGGGGCAATGTTGCCAAAGCCTGAGATCCTATGAGCGATGTCAATCTCAGCAGGAGGCACTAGGGACCGTAAGGAGAACTTCTGAAGGATGGAGGTGAAGTAGATGAAAAGCTCCATGTTAGCCAGCGCCTCCCCCACGCATCTGTGCTTTCCTGTGGACACAAAAGTGACAGAGAGGCATGTGCCATGCACCTGCCATGAACACCCCACGCAGCCTCGGCTGACTCCTCATAGCTGTGTTCGCTATGTGGGCTCAACATCCCACTATTGCCTGCCACTGAGAGGAGCTGGACAGGTGGTGGCTTCTTCTCTGCTCACCCGGCTTCCTGGGTTAGAGCCAGATAGACTGGTTCTAAAGGATCCACAAGGGCTGGGGTGTGACTCAACAGCAGAGCATTGACTGGAACCCCAGATGGGGCATGTGACTCCATGATAAAGCCTTTGCTCAAAGTGTGTGAATTCCATCCCCAGATCAGGGGAAAAAAATCAAAATTAGGTTCATGTCAACTCCTCAAAGGTATTTCAAATGCCTTAGGTATCAAATACTAGGGAGTAAAAAAAAAAAGCTGAAAATTGTGTTTAAGGCTCTGTCTCACGGTTGAGGCTCCAGGCTTCCCATGACTGCCATTGAAAAACACATGCTGTCATAATTGCTCACGTCATGCTCTTGTGCACCTGAGATTACAGCCATAGACCACCTTCTCACCCTAGCTTTTTCTCTAATCATTAAAGTGAATGGTTCTAATATTCCCTGATCTGGGATTTTAGGATATTTTAAAATTATTCTATAGCATTGACCTTGGAAGGAGTGTTCTAGTACATGTCTGGGGAAATCTAGGCATAATTACAAACCAGAGGAAAAGACCACAAAGGTGTCATTCTTCTTGAAGTGTCCCTGCTCATCCAGAAAATGCTGAGGATAAAAAGCATCCGGGTAGCGGAAGTACTTGGGATCTCTGAGGACCGAGCCAATCAGTGGATACACATCCGTACCTTGGGAGACAAACAGAGTTTTGGACTACGGAGTTAGGGACACAAAAACAGGATGAGAGAGAAGTCAAGAAAGGGTGACAACAGTGGGGTGTAGCCTCACCTTGGGCAGAAAGTAGCCTCGGAAATGAGTGTCCCGTGTGACATTATGGGGGACACCCAGAGGCACAACGTCTGTCACCCTCTGTATCTCATGGATGACAGCATCAGTGTACGGCATCTTAGCCCGGTCATCCAGTTTTGGAGCACGGTGCATTCCGATCACCTGGTTAATCTCCTCGAGAATCTTGGCTGTAAGACCGAAGAAAGTAAACCAGAAGAGGTGACGCTGATGCTTGCTACCTTTGCTGCCATTTGTGGTTAGGGGTAGCATGTGCTTGTTTGATTGTCAGAAGGGTCTCACTAGGTAGCTTGTGTTGGACTTGACTTACACTCTAGATTGTGTAGGTTTCCAATGCTCTTTCCCCCTCATATATGCTGGATTACCAGTGTGAGCCACATGTCTGGCCAAGGAATGTGTGTGCTGAGAGGCTAGGGAAAGTCCTATTCTGAGGTTTGTAGATGTCATTAAGTCAAGGATCTTGACATGCTGTGCCTAGATCTAGGAAGACCAGTGAGCCTTACAGGAGAATCACATGTGTTTGGATTACTTCTTTATACTTAATGGCTGGCTTTTGAACACTCATCAGACACCAGGAGCTGCACAGCCTAGATCCTTGAATGTCACATGGGAATTTTGTCTTAAAAATAGCAAGAAACCAGCTGGGTGTGGTGGTGCATGCCTTTAACCCCAGCACTCAGGGAAGCAGAGACAGGTGGATGACTATGAGTTTGAGGTCAGCCTGGTCTATAAAATGAATCCAGGATAGCCAAGGCTAAACACAAAAACTCTGTCTTAAAAAAATAATGAAAAAAACCTTGTTGGTATAATGTTCTTTTGAAATGTATACACCTTACCCTTGTTCATTCAAATGCTGATTTCTCCCCCCACACACACACATGCTGGTTTCAATCCGGATAGTGCATTGTGATACTTATTCTAAGCATTCTGTCTCAACTGTGTGTAAACAGGCCAAAATAAAGCAACTAGCCACAATTTTGACCAATGGGAGGACCCAGAGGACAGGAAAGAGGGGAGGAGCCAGAGGGCAGGAAAAGAGTGGGAAGAGAGAGGACTAGGGAGGAGAGCTTGGGAGAGAATAAGGAGAGCAGAGCTGGAGGACAGATCTTGGAACTACGTGGAGATGGACTGGACATAATATTTCACAAAAAGCAAGTATAATGGGTAAAATCTAAATGTTAAGAAACTATGAGGGCTTGGAGGTTTAGGAGGGAGTAAATATTGCCCAGCATTGTATTCTAGGTTAACGAAATAAACCCAGTCTCTGTGTGGTGATTTGGTTATACAGCTGTTTAGGACTAACAGCAGAATTACCAGAAGATATATCAATATGAAATATTAATCGACACCTACAACAAAACCCAAAACAAAACAAAACAAAACAAAATGAGGAAGCATGGAGGGGAGCAACAGTCAGGACAGCTTCCTACTTCCAGCTGAACGTCATGTACAGATGCTTTTTTCACTCACCAAAGGCTTGTTTTGAACTTGACTAGTATAGAGAAAGGCCAAAGTAGAGAGTTTTCTTAAGCAAGAAATAACTTAATAACTGTAGTTCCCTAAACAGATCAAATTCTAGTTTATTAGTCATACATTCTGGTTGATATGGACAACGTGGTCAGCTGAGCAATAGCCTTCAAGCAGCCTCACCTGGGTGTGATGGCATGTGTGTAATTCCAGGTTCCCAGGAGGCTGAAGAAGAGTGATCATTGGACCAAGGTCAGCCTGGACTATGTAGTGACAGTCCCATTTCAAAGAGAAACAGGAAGGGAAGAGACCCACCTTCAAATCTCTGACATCAATGCTATGAGCATAAGTATAACATAAGTTCAAAGGGGACTGGCAGGTCTCACTAACTTTCTGGGAAATGAGATTAGCTGGATTATCCATATTGGCCATGCATTGTCTTGTCTCTGAATCAGAGGAGGAGGTAGGTGAACTGAAAAGGTAGAGCAAGAGAAAGAGACAGAGAGAGAGAGAGAGAGAGAGACAGACAGACAGACAGACAGACAGACTGGCTGTTTTCCTTGACTTCAGCTGCTCTGAGAAATCATGACCATGAGGGTCAGATGAAAAATACAGGCTACTAAGTCTCAACAGCCACAGAGGACAAATGCAGGGACCGATCAGAGAGGTGAAGGCCCTGTGTTCTGAGGTCATCAAGGGAAGGGAAGCTAATGCCATGGGACTGTACAGTTTCAAGATAGCCATCCTGCCAAGGAGGCACCGGAGGTGCCAGTTGAGCCCCTCAGATTGGAACTTACCCTCCACCTCGGGATACTTCATCAGCAGCAAGAATCCGTAGCGCAATGTGGAGCTCACCGTTTCCGTGCCAGCAAAGAAGAGGTTAAGGGTGGTGAGGACCAAGTTCTTGAGGTTGAATTCTGAGTGGGGATTGCTTTTATCCTGAAAGGGAAGGGGGCTGTTAACCGATTTATGCCCTCCACCCTTTATCTTCCCCTCTCCTCCGTGTAGAGGGGGTGCGTTTGTGGAAGGAGGAAAGATGAGTCAATTAAGCCTGGAAGAACAAAGTAAGCAAAGGTGCAGAGCATGTTTGGTGTTTACGAGGAAAGACAAGAGATGGCCAGCGTGCTTGTGGTAGGCAAAAAGTATGGGAAAAGGAAACAGAATCTTTGCACGGTTTGAAAGTTCGGGGCCATTGAAGCACACAGCTTTCAACCGCCAAATACTCGGGTTTCATCACGGTTTCCCTAGAGTCTCATGGTCAGCACACGGGCATGCTTACTATGTGCACTCCTGTGTCTCAAAGACATTAGGCTAGTGATTTCGGTGTTTAAACTCAAATTCAAAGAGCCAGCTTCTGAGTTTCTCAATTAGAGACTCTGAATCCACCTTCTGGTTTTCAGTAAAATGTCTGTTGTATTGATGGTCTTAAAATGTAAGACTTTAAGTTTCTTTATGCTAAACTTTGAAGATTCGAAGTGTGTTTTAGAAAAATAGGTCTCATGAAAAATGAGGGGGAATTAGCTTACTTGAAACCAGCCAGGTAGAGAGACAATCACCGCACGAAAGCTAGGAGACATTTGCTTGAAAGGAGACCGTGATCACAAAGAGGAAGGGCGGGGGTTTTGACCCCCTCATGCTGTAGGCGCAAAGGAAGCCCACTAAGAAGCAGGCACTGTGTGACCGCCATTCTTGCTTGCCAACTTGACTACATCTGGAACTAACTAAAGCAGAAACAGCTGGGCACGCCTGTGAGGGAGTCTTTTCTTAGCTTACTCATTTGATTAACAGTAGGAAGACCTACTTTTAATCTGGATTTTTGGTGTGGGAAGACCCACCTTGGCTCCAGATCTTCTGAGATGGGAATGACCAGCTTTAGTCTGGGCCACACCTGCTGGCAGCCTATGTAAAGGATGCGGCAGAAGAAAGCTGGCTCTCTCTTTGCCTGCTTGCTATCATTCTGGCAAGTCCACTCTTCACTGGCACCAGAGCCTGCTTCTCCAGGACCAGACGAGACACCAGCCTCAAGGGCTGAATAACTGCTGGCTTCTTGCACCTTCCACTGGTAGATAGCCATGGTTGACTAGCTGAACCACAGCCTGTAAGCGGTTCTGATAAATCCCCCCAACACCCAGTTCTGTTCCTTTAGAGCAATAATTCTATGCTTCACGGGTGTCACAGATCAGATATTCACATCACGATTCATAACAGTAGCAAAATTACAGTTATGAAGTTCCAGTGAAATAATCTCATGGTTGGAGTGACCACAATATGAGGAACTGTATTAAAGGGTTCCAGCATTAGGAAGGCTGAGAACCGCTGGTCTAGAGAATCCTGACTAATACAAAGCAAATTCTAAAGTAAGTCTGATTTCATAAATTTTAAGGGAGTTTATTTTAAAGGTGTGACAGGCTTACATTTCTATAGTTTCTATATTTTATCTAGTGGTCAAGGCAAGTGATAGAAAATAACACTTTCTCACTTTTCACCTTCCCAGTTGCAAGATGGGTTTGCTACAGCAAGAATGAAGGTTTCAGAAGACAGAAAGACTGGTGTAAGAGGAAGAGGTACCTCATATATCTTGATGAGAAAGCAGTCAATGAAGTCCCTAGGGTCTGAGGGGTCGAAGGATGCTTCATTGATCTTGACCCTGGATGCAATGAAGTCCTTAAGGTTTTCTATCAAGGTATAGAGGTGGTTGTGTCTTCCTGGAAAATACTGCAGGACTCTCCCGTACATGTCATATAACTGCGGGGCAGAGGCAAAGGGGGATGTATCAGTCATGGGCACCAGAGAGCATATGAGCAGAGTTCTAAAGTCATAGAGTTGGACTCAAAGTCTGTGACTGGAGATAGTGTACACTGTTAATCCCAGCACTAAGGAGACTGAGGAGGAGGGACCAGCAGTTCAAGGCCAACCTGAAGTATACAAAGACACTCTGTCTCACTAAATAATCTACTGTTGGGTCTGAGATTTGGTTGTATCTGTTTACTTCTTGAACAGTTGGACAAACTGATGAGTGTCTTTGAGGGATGAAGGGAGAAGCATTAGGTGGAGTCCAGGAAAATGCTTGCTTGAGAATAAAGGAAGGGCAGGGAGTTAACTAGTGACCAGTGTGCACCTGTGCCCAGGGCATGCTCATCTCCACAAAGCTCTCGTTGATCATCTTCATTAGACTCTGGAAAAGCTCGTCCTCATAGTCGAAGCGTTTTCCAAAGACAACGGAACAGATGACATTGGATACAGTGCGGCTCAGGTACAAGGTGGGTTCTATGGGAGCGCCTAGGTGTGGGAGAGGTAGGGTGAGAAATGTCACAGCATTGGCACAGAGCTCCGGGTCTGCTGCTTAGGGCATGTGTGAGTGCCTCGTTTTCATGTCTGAGTCTAGTTTTCCCAAATTGCAATCTTGTTTGGAAATCTTCTAACTGACCCGTGAGTGTTCAATGTGATGGTGCTTGCCAAATGCCTGGCATGGCTTCATGCTTGGAGCAGACACTGCAGAAATGGTAGACAAGTTCAGAGTGATCTTTTGTCGATGTTACCTAAATGTATTTGTGGTAGATAGACGGTAATAGAGGACACATCAGAAACAAAATAAAACCAAACAAAACACCTGAGGGACTCTAGACAGATCAGTGGTTAAGAGCGCTGGCTGTTCTTGCAAAGGACCTGGGTTCAGTTCCCAGCACCCACATGGCAACTCAAAACCATC